AGTACTTTTTTTTGAGACGGAGTCTCTCTGTGGCCAGACTGGAGTACAGTGGCAGGATCTCGGTTCACTGCAACCTCTGCCTCCTGGGTTCAAGTGATTCTCCTGTCTCAGCCTCCCAGTAGTAGCTGGGACTACAAGCGCCTGCCACCACGCCCAGCTAATTTTTGTGTTTTTAGTAGAGACGGGGTTTCACCATGTTGGCCAGGATGGTCTCAATTTCTTGACCTCATGATCCACCCACCTCGGCCACCCAAAGTGCTGTGATTACAGGCATGAGTCACCGCACCTGACCTGCATTTGCTTTTGAACATCCATGTGTTATCGTTCAGCCACAGGCTAAGGTAAAGGTTCCTTTATTCCAAGTTTGGTTTCTGCATGAGAACATCTTGAGGTTTTGTCCTGTAACGCAGAGGCCAGTATCTTATGCAGTTCCTCCTTAAAGCCCTAGCTCAGATGAAAGCATCATTAACATCTGCTTTTGAGCAACTCCTCAAATTTAAGCCATTATTTTGGGGCCTTTTCCCTCCTAAAACATTAGGAGGTTCTCTATTTTCTATAAGAAATGTTGCCTTCCAAGAAGAGATTCATATGATATTCATCATATTCTGATTTTATATTCACTTATATTCATTTAATAATTTCATTAGAAAACATGGGGTCTATGATCAGATTGATATATACAGCCCTTGTTTGGAGTTTTGGAGGTTGTAAGGTCAGGTTTACTTTCCCCTAAGTTCCTCTTTGAAATTGAAGTGTAATACGCATATAGAAAATTATATGTAAGTGTACAACTTGATGAGTTTTCTTACAGTAAACACATGTGTAACAGCTATCAGGTCAAAACATGGAACAGTGAGCACCTCAGAAGAGTCTTATGCATTTTACTGACTTGCTCCTTTCAAAAGTTAACCACTCTCTTCAATTTTAAACACATGGAAACATTTTGCCCGTTTTTGAAATTTAATTGAAATAGTAGGTATACTTTGTCTCATTTATTTCACTCAAATATCTTTCAACAACTCCATCTTGTGTACTGTGTGTAGCTATCATTTGGTCGTTTTCATTGCTTTGTAATATCCCATCATGAGAATATATCAGTCACTTCCATTTTGGGCTATCACAAATAAAACTGCTGTGAACAGTCTCATATATACCTATTATTTGCAAACTGGGAAATGTATTTCTGTAACTTATATGTCTACAATAGAACTGCTAGGTGGTAAGAAATGTGCATTTTCACATTTAGTAGATTATGCCCGACCCTTTAGTTGTCTGAATTATATATTTCCACAAGTTAGTTGTGAGACTTCCAGTTGATCCATGTCCTCATCAACATGTGGCATTAGTAGTCTATTTCAGTCATTTTGGTAATTTTGTATCAGTATATCTCATTGCAGTTCTATTTAAATTTCCCCAGTTACTGCTGAGGTTAAACATTTCTTAAATATGATTCTTGAATTTGTGAACACCTTTTGTGTTCCTGTTCAATTTTAGTTTCTCATTCTATAAAACTTGAAATTTAAAAAAATAAGAAAAATAGAAGACTGGGGTATTCTATTGCAAATGTGTCAATTATTCTCTATAGATTTAACTCAGTGCTAATCGTAACTTCGAATGCACATGGAAACTGAAAAGATTACAAAACAAATACAAAAATAGAAAGGGCCAATAACCAATAAAATCTTGAACAAAGGGGGAAAACCTAGTTCGCCAGATACTAGGCTGCATTATAAAACTACATTACTCCACATGACATGGTATTTGTGTGTGTAGAGAGAAACAATGGAGATGAATTGAAGTGCAAAAATAGACCCACATATGTATTGACAAACTTTTATGACATACTACTGTGAAGCAATGAGGAAGCAGCACTATTTTTAATAAATGGTGCTGTGTCAATTAGATTTCAAATAAAATAGTCTTAACCCATTCCTCATACCATATGCAATAATCAATTTCAGATAAAACAGATCCAAAATCAAATGGTAAAATAATGATTCTATAGATAATAACCTCGTATAGCATCGTAATAGTTTTGTGTAGGCCAGTATTTCCTCGACAGGACGTAAAAATATAAACTATAAGTTTTAAAGAATAAACTATACCCAAGAGAAGAACTTGTTTTTATTAAAATTTACCATTGAAGTGAGTAATAAGGTAATCCAGAGAAGGAAAATACATTTGCAACTCAAAACAAAGGGTTTATATCCAGAATATAGCAGTAACTCAATTTTGATGAAGTCCAAGTTCACTTTTCTCTTTTTGAAACATGCTTTGGATTCAGGTATCATAACTATTTGCCTATCCCAAAGTCATATAAATTTCCTTCTATGGTTATCTGTTTTATTGCCAGGATTTTTCTGGTTCCCTTGGAGTAGGCAGATAGCCAGCAATCAGTAGGCAAGGGAGTCTCCTAAGAAAAGTCCTGGAGATGCTGTTTCACTGAGTCAGTGCTGCTGGCTGGCAGTCAGCAAAACAGACAATGACTGCACTGGCCATGCTGATTATGTCTGGCGTTGTGGCTGGGCTCCTCTAGCCCCAAAGGGGACTTTATCAGGCCCTTGCCAGAGATAACCACACTAGGGATTTTTCCCCACTGACAAACATGCACACACTCCTCCGAAAACTTGCTGTATTCTTTTGCTCACTGTAATAGCGTTTAACACACACACACCCCCTGGGTGGTGATTTTAGATGCCAATGGGATACGGTATGTGTACTAGCATGTACAACAAGAACATGTGTGCCTCAAAAACCTCCCAAAACATACTTGCAAGTAACACCCCCAGTACACCCTTTCATGATTTATCACGTAAGAGTCTCAAAGTTCCCCAGCACTAGCTGCTGCTGGCTCCTTGTTCTTTGTGTTCACATGCATTCAGTGTTTAGCTCCCACTTATTGAGAATATGTGGTATTTGGTTTTCTGTTTCTGTGTTCATTTACTTAGGATAATGACCTCCAGCTTCATGCATGTTGCTGCAAAGGACATGATCTAATTCTTTTCTGTGGCTGCATAGTATTATATTCCATGCTGTATATGTACTGCCCTTTTTGTTTTTTGTTTGTTTGTTTTGGAGATGGAGTCTTGCTCTGCCTCCCAGGCTAGAGTGCAGTGGCATGATCTCCTCACTGCAACCTCCAGGTTCAAGCAATTCTCCTACGTCAGCCTCCCGAGTAGCTGGGATTACAGACATGCACCAGCATACTCAGCTAATTTTTGTATATTTCGTAGAGACAGGGTTTCACCATGGTGGCCGGGCTGGTCTTGAACTCCTGACCTCTGGTGATCCGCCGACCTCGGCCTCCCACAGTGCTGGGATTACAGGCATGAGCCACCACGCCCAGCCTGTACCGCATTTTCTTTATCCAGGGTTGACTTTTATACGAGATCCAAAAGTTTGTTTCTTTAAATGACATTTTCTTGGTGGGGACAGTCCAACTACATCAAATTAAATCTAATAATTCTATGTTCTGCTCTTTTCTTCAGTGTTACATTTTGAAATGGAATATATTTTGATATTTCAAGGACATTTTCTTTGTGTAACTTTAATATTTTTAACAATTTTCATAACATAGATGACACCGGTATTTCTAAAGGGTCTATCGGACTAACAAGAAAATCAGTTCATAGATTATTCTGGCTATAAAGTGAAAAATCTACAGCTAATTTCTTCATAAAACATCTCTGTAAAATAACTTTCATAGGTTAAAGGTGACAATGACCCTGAATTCATAAAAATCCGCCAATTAATTGCTGCACAGTTTGTTTCCATCTTGTGTAATGTCATCTCCCTGCCAGATAAGTTGAGCAATATTTGGGGGAGTATAGTTATTAATCTACCCCTGCTTATGGTTATTTTAAGAGTAAGTGATCAACATACTCAACGTACTTATCTTTGAAAGAGAAGGGTAATGTAATCAGGGATCTACTAAGTGCCTGGTGAATGTATTGGTCGATTAGACAGATTTTAGGATGTTAAGAAAGGAGGACTCTGCCTCCAATGCCATGACACAGGCGAAGAACCACCAAGTGGTTCAGAGGAGATTAGAACTCTGACCTGCCTACTTGGTTTAGCTGTGATTACTTCTTCTAATACAACACACATTTTAATCCAGTTAAATATAAACCAAAAATAGAAAACAAATCTGTCATTCTTACTCCAAGTAAAAAATACTGATGTTTCTGTATAATTTATCTGCTTGGAGACAACATTTAATAAGTGTTGGCTTGATTTAAACAAACGTCATTATCAGGTTTGACCACACTTAGTATATCAATATTTGGTATAGTAAAATCCATGTGTTGCACCGAGCACTGCTATAAGAAACTGAGTTCACTGGGCATGGTGGCTCACGCCTGTAATCCCAACACTTTGGGAGGCTGAGGCAGGTGGATCACCTGAGGTCAGGCTTCGAGACCAGCTTTGGCCAACATAGTGAAACCCTGTCTCTAATAAAAATACAAAAAATTAGCTGGCCATGGTGGCATGTGCCTGTAATCCCAGCTACTCAGGAGGCTGAGACAGGAAGACAGGAGAATAGCTTAAACCCGGAAGGCGGAGATTGCAGTGAGCCGAGATCGCACCACTGCACCCCTGCCTGCAGTGAGCCGAGATCGCACCACTGCACTCCAGCCTGGGGAGACTCCATCTCAAAAAAGAAAAAAAAAAAAAAAAAAAAAGAAAAAGAAAAAGAAACCGAGTTCACTGCAGGACTTTGTCCAAACACAGCTGCATGAAGTAAAATCTGAAAACAGAGAGCAGCCTATCAGGCCTGGTCTATGCCTTTCCCTTCCCTCTGTGGCAGCATGCATTTGCTTCCTCAATTATATTAGCCACAATCAGACATACACGAATTACAACATGTGCTCTCACATAAGAACCGGTCTGATTTACAAGAGAATTCGAGATACTTCCTCTGCATGTGGGGCCAAAGCCCTCACTCAAACATGAGGCATGCTGTCTCACAGCATCCAGACCTTGTCCAGGGCACTACTTACATTATTGTTCTGCAAAACCCGCAGTGCCTTGTTGACATTGTTCAGGGCATGAACTCTTGTGGATCCTTTTTCTTTTGGCTGCGAACAAGACAAAACAGTGTTCACTGACCAGCAGAGAGACCGACAATCTACTAGAAATGAAACCATTTATGAATTTCACTATTAAGTTTGAATATTGTAAATGAACACAGCCTGTGAGGCATTAATATCATGAATCTAAATACTTTGGGCTAATCGTCCTTGGCCTGGTAGATTTTTAGCATAAACCAACCACTCTGTAAGAATGACAACACTTTTTCTTTACAAAGGCTATTTTGGTATGATTGTTCCTTCATTCTACAGCTCAGTTGGGGATTACTGCATGACCACCAATGAGAGAAACATCATCATGAATAAAAACATCTTCTAGTAAGATAGAAATACAAGTTAATTCCCAAACTTTTCAGGAAAATTTAAAGAAGATTTGACTCTAGCAAAATTATATAATGCCAAATAGGGTTAAATAAACCTTTTCTGCAAAGATTACCTTAATTGTCCTTGTCATTGAAGCTCTAAACCTCAATCATCTTTGGTTCCCTAATTTTATTCTCAAGCCCAAGAGTTGTATCTTATCCTGTAATTTTTAAACCAACATCTGCATAGTTCATTGCAATATACAAATTAACTCATTTATTAAGTTGTAGAGTTTTAGAAATTCTACCATTATGATACCTGTTGTATTTACTTTTTATTTTCATTTCTTTCACCTTACTACCAAGCCCTTATTAGCTATTGCCCAGAAAAATATAACCTCATTCTCTTCTCTTCTCACTCACCATTTGTTTCAATCCTTCCTGCATATCGTCAACAATGATGTTCCTGAAGTAAGCCCACTGCCAATGCAAACCACTTGCAAAGTTCTCATCTAAACATTTGGGTGATTATAGTTAACAGTTAAGGGCAAGAGCTACAAAGCTGGCTGTCTGGGTTCAATTTTCAGCTCTGCCATTTTTGTGCTGTGTGACCTATGTAAAAAATTTAATCTCCCTGTATACCAGTTTTCTCATCTGTTAAGAATGGATTTAATAAAAATATTAGCAAGAGGCATACACAAATTACAACCTGTGCTCTCAATAAGAACTGCTCTGATTCACAAGAGAATTTGAGATACTTTCTTCTCTGCATTTGGGGCCAAAGCCCTCACTCAAACATGAAGCATGCTGTCTCACAGCATCCAGACCTTGTCCAGGGCACTAGTTATTGTTCATATTGCTCAAACCATTGTACATATGGTTTCTGGGAGGATTTAGTGTGTTAATATGCATAAGGCACTTAGATTGGTGCTTGTCACACATATTTGGTACAATAATATTATTGATTTTGTAGTATGTGCCAAGTACTTTGAATGCGCTACCTTTAATCCCCGTCTTGCAAGGCAGTTAGTTTCATCCCCATTGTACAGAAGTGAACCTCAGGTTAAAATATCCAATATATAGATTACCATATAACTAATCATTGATGGAGCCAGGACCCAAACTTTTGTCTGTGTCTGTAGAGCCCAAGTCTTGCAAATTTATTTCCTTCTTCTCTACCTACCTTGTGTATGTACCAAACAAATAATCTATTTCTATTTCTTGCATTTAACTCCTATACTTTCCAACAATACTCCTGGTCTTTCTCAAGTAGTTCCTTACCCTACAACTCCTTATCATTTGCACTGCCTGCTGAACAACCCAAATTAAGCTAAAGCCATCTTCCTCTCCAAGGTGACTTGCCTGATACCCTTTATAACACAGTATTGATATCTCATTCCTTTGATTTCATAAAACATTAAGGCTAACCTTATGAACCAGAATCTCCATTTTTACCTCTTAGATTTTCCTCCAAGAATGTTAGAATGATATTGGTTTATATTCTGATATTTTCCCCACTTTCCACCAAAAAGAGGAAGAAAAATAAGGCCATAGAAAGACAAAAAAAAAAAAAAAAAAAAAAAAGCGGGGAGGGTGGTTCACACCTGTAATCCCAGCATTTTGGGAGACTGAGGCAAGTGGGTCACTTGAGGTCAGGAGTTCGAGACCAGCCTGGCCAACATGGTAAAACCCCATCTCTACTAAAAATACAAAACTTAGCCAGGCATGGTAGAACATGCCTATAGTGGCCGAGGCAGGAGAATTGCTTGAACCCAGGAGGCAGAGGTTGCAGTGAGCCAAGATCATATCACTGACTCCAGCCTGGGCGACAGAATAAGATTCCATCCAAAAAAAACAAAAAGTGTGAAAGAAAAGCAGCAAATAACCAATCTTCTCATGTATATACAGATAGCACACAAGTTTAATGGTAATTATAGGACTTAAAGTTTTGAAAATAATTACTCAGATCCATCCTCTGCCCAGTAGACAAAAGCCATGTATTTCCTTTTAATCAGTTACATAATTATAGTCATAAGATTTAGCAACATTCTCCTTTGTATATCATACTCACATTAAATGTACACATGTGCATATGTATTAGAACCAAAGATAGTCTCTTTTAAAAAGCTGCAGTTTCTGATCCTGAAGTGGGAACTTAAAATCTGCCCCTATTAGAGTCTCCTTGAGGAGTATTTCCTATTTTATGATTGTAAGGCAAGTACCTTCCTTTTAACCCTGGGGATACTCTGAGCCAATAATCCAAATGCAGATGCTTCTGAGTAGAATACTAAAAATTTCTGTCCAATAGTATACATGACTCCCATTAGGAGTAGAAGATGTATCTCTCTAGAAATGTAGAATTCAAGACAAGGTATACAGAATTGGAGTCGTGGGATTGGAAGCATTCGTTAGAGAGGTGATTCTGCTTTATGGGAAAGGCAAGATCCTCAGACCACGGCTGACAGGTCTGTGATTAGGACAAACAATGGTGTACGAATTCTGTTAGTAGCAGTATCTGAAATTATGTAATCTATACTGGCATGTGTAAATGTTTGGTGATTTTTCCCTACCTGGCCAATCTCATGGATATTTTGTTTGATACTTTTTTCTTTAGTGCTATTACTAATCAGGTTCATTTTGTATTAGTGTCTATGTATGTATGTGCATAAATGAAAATCATGTGGATTTTTTAATTTTGCCAAAATTATTTTTTCTTCATATCAGATGGGTAGTGTGCCAACATCCTAAGTTTAGAGGAAGGCATATCTCAAATCTGAGTATAAACACCCAAATCATGCTTATGAATTACAAAAGGATCTGAAATTATCTTAAACATTATGTCTGTATGAAATGTGTTAACTCTAACAAAATTTCTTTGGGTGATACATGGGTTGACTCAGTCAGGAAAATGACCAGGAAGGATTGTAGCACAGGAGAAGTGATTATGCAGATATACTTGGAAGTGAAGAGACAACAGACTCATACAGAGGGCCAGGACAGGCTGAGTAAGCCATAATCTTTGAAAGATTTTTCATGAACATTTGGAAGACACTGGGACTTCTAGTATTTGGTAACCGAAAGTAGGACTGACTGCAGAATTCAGGAGAAATGATATACACAGAGACACACTGATTTCTATAAATATATTACATATCCATATATATGTAAATTGTTCACATAGGAGATGAATTATACACAAATGTATCTCTAACTAGTGAAATTAAGACTAAGTTTACACGATGACCTCAAATTGGCTCAAAGCAAACAGTTCAGCTATAAGGCAATAAATCTGATATTTCCCCTTGACTGAAGTTATTATTTCAATATGTCATCAAGTTGTTCTTATATTAGTACAAGTTCAGACTTCTTGAAAATATATCAGTTTTAATATTAATCTCACATACTTGAAGATAATAAATGAAAGCATAAGGGATGTCTCTTCTCTATAGGACTTCAGGATTTAATTGAGGAGGGATGTCAGTCATACACTAAAAACAAGACAAAATGGGCATTCTGTGGAATTTGAGAGGGAAAAAAAAAATCAGCAAAGGTAATGTGGGAAAAGCTTTACTGAGGAGAAATCAAGGTTTCTGGGAGACTGTTTGGGTAGACAGAAGTACAGAAAGAAATGGAGGCAAGTAAAACAATATAGGCAAAAACCCAGAGATACCTGACGGTATATACTGAGAAAAAAGTGGCTTAGCCTAAGAGTTATAGGAAGCAGGTTGGGGGAGATAGCATTTTTGCTAATTGACTTTGGACGACAGCTTCAGCTTGTATAATAAAACAAAATCTGTGTGTGTCTGTGCGTGTCTGTGCATGTGCTGGGGAGTTGTAATGAAGGGCAAAGATAAGAGATGAAGGCAATAATTTAGCAGAATTTGATAGGTAGAACAGTTATTTATGACTGTAGACTGGGGGCTTAAACTCTACTTTTTAGAGTAGCAATCTAAGAAGATTATTTCAGGGGATTTCAATTTGAGTTGTTCTCCCCCCCTCTCCCGCCCCCAGTGTAAGATCTTGATCAGCATGAATTAATTGATCTGTAACTGTGTATATTAATCATGTATCTTCACAGGAATTCTGTGAAATTAGACAAGATAACAGTTCAGGAGGAAGTGATATTCTCATCACATATGCTGTCACGTATTACACTATAATGCCTGTACTTTATTATGCTATCCCCACATTTATACAGGTTCATTGTAAAATAACTTCAAAATACACAAAAGTACAAAGATAATTTTTCAAGTCATTATGTATAAAAGCCTTAAGATATTTGATAAGATAGATACCAAGTAGTAAAATTGAGTAATATCTATTAATATAAATTGTATTACTGAAATTTTTACCTTATTTTTCTGCAGGTGGTAGACTATGCCAAATGAAAATCCTACGAGGTTGCTTTACTAAAAGGAATAGGTATTGCTAGTTCAATCAGCACTTAGTAAGTTAATTTTACTAGATCTCATATAACTATGTTTTCAGTTTCTGGTCTGAAATTCTACTAAGTTTAAAGTTAACTTTCTTAAAATTAAGTCACATACCAGTTTTTGCCCTGTCAGGCCTTCGAGGAGGTCTAGGAGGCGTCTCCCATCCTGTAGGTCACTGAAGAGGTTCTCTATATGCTGCTTCCCAAACTGAAATTAAAAAAATATATACTCAATGTAACAAAGCACACTTCCAATGATATTTTCACGATTCTGCCTTTTGAAAACTAAAGTTATATTTAAGGATAATTAGTGTGTATAATTATCTACCAAAGATGATGGATGAAAAAAGGAAAGTTCAAATGACAAAAAAAAATTTAAAAATTTGATCATAGATCAAGTCTATTTGAATTATTTTGAATAGCAAGATAGGAGATTTATAGCCTAAGTGATCTAATTAATTCACTTAAATGAATATAGATTCTGTGAAGGAGAGAAAAAAATAGGAATGATCAGGCAGTTAGGGGTAAAGGGAAAAGTAAATACGCAAAGCGGCAAAGACCACACAAATCTACCTGGGTGGGTACATAAAATTTAACCATTCTTGGAATATACAGTCAGAGTATTCAACATCCTCATCACTCAGAACATGCTTGCTGTGCATACACTTTTGGCATGCTGATTCAGAATGACCTATGCGCCTACTGGATAACTCAAATTTTAGGAATATCAGGTTTAATTAGGTTTGAAACAAGCCTGTGAGAGCTTTTCATCGATTTTACTAAGTTCTTTGGCTCAGGAATTATACTAAGGAAAAAGAGTCAATAAATAATGTTTAACATTTTTGAAGTAAATACTCACGAGAGAGACTGTTAAGTGAGTGGATTTTACAACCGTTGTGGCATTTCTGAGATTAGCAGTAACATACTCATCTTACATGAGACACTTAGAGGTTAAGTATGTGGCTGTTTGTCATGAAACTAGAATGGGGTAAAGCCAAAATTGTGTCTCAGATCTGTGTAATTCTGGGTTCTTGTTCTTTCAAATCTTATGTTGCCTTCCTTGTCCTTTTATAATCTACTATTTGATTATCTTTCAAACATTTGTCTTTATCATATTTCACCAAATCGTTTTCTGGTTAAAACCCTACAATCCCCATGAGGTAATTCCCAGATTTTTCATCATCATCTAAGTTATCTAGAAATCCCTTATTTAATCAGTCACAGACATATTGAGCATGAATAAACCTGAGCTAGGTACTAAATCATATCCTAGTACATCAGACACAGGCCCAGACCCTATAGAACTTAGAGTCCAGCAGAGAAAATATTCCTAAAAGGTACTATTACATAGAAGCATTAAAAAGGACTAAAGAACATGAACAGTGGGAACACTCAAGCCTTGGGATCAAGAAATACTTTCCAAAAAATGTCAGGTGATGGGTCTAACATTAGCCTTTGGGTGACTGTGCTCTTTTTCATGTACTTCTTGGATCACACATAAACTTTGAATTTCACACAAGTCAAGAAAATCCCTGGTTTCCAGGCAAAAGACATCCCTGAAACTTCTGAAACTTCCACGATTAAAGACATAGGATCATAGACTATTCCTACAACTAGGTAGCCATTTCAATGACAAGACCTGTCAATGCCCGGGTACTTCACACAGACAACAATGATCCCTGCAGTCAGTCAACCAGGCCCTGTGTACCCAGCTTTGTGAATCTAGCCACATATATACTTAAAAATTAACTATGAGTTATTCTTTTGAAATTCTCAAATAGATCCATTTTAAAATTCCATGGGAAAAAGAACACAAAACCCTAACATGCTAGAATTTTTAAAAAGTAGCTTTACTAGGAGGAAGGAAGAACAAGACGGTCCAACAGAACCTTCCAGCAATCATCTTTCCCGCTACCGCTGCTACAGAAACACCAAATTGAACAGATATCCACACAAGCACACACCTACAGAAGAACCAAAAAAACCAAGTGAGCAAATCACAGTACTTGATTTTAATATCATATCAAGGAAAGAGGCACTGAAGATGGTAGGAAAGACAGTTACAAATTGCCAACACCACCCCTCCCCCATCCCCTGGCAGAGACCATGTCACATGTAGACCATCTGTGTGCTTGCAGGAGGGAGGACGCAGGATTGTGGGACGTAGCACTGGAACCCAGTGCTGCCCTGTCACAGTGGGAAGCAACACAGGGCAGAGTTCATTAAGTGCCCGTGGAGGAAACATTTCAGACCAGCCCTATCCAGGGAGCTTATCACCCATCTCAGCAGTTAGAACCTGAGTTCCAGCTAGTCTCACCGCTGTGAGCTCAAGCACTTTGGGATTCTAAATAAACTTCAAAGGGAGTCCCGGCTACAAAAACTGCAATTCCTGGGCAAGTCTTGGTGCTGCGCCAGACTCAAAGTCAGGGGACTTGGTGAGCACACAACCTAGTAAGACACCAGTGCTTATACCACCCCATCCTCTAAACTCCTGGCAGTGCAGCTGACAACTTTGAGAGAGACTGCTTCCTTCCACTTGAGAGGATAGGGACAGTAAAGAGGACTTTGTCTTGTAACTTAGACACAAGCTCAAACACAGTAGAATGAGGCATCAGGCAGAGTCCTGAGACCCCCCCATTCCAGGCCTGGGCTCCTGAGTGACATTCTTAAATACACCCTGGGCCAGAAGGGAACTTGCTACCTTCAAGGGAAGAATCCAGTCCTGGTAGAATTCATCACCTGCTGACTAAAGGGGTCCTTGGGTCTGGAATAAGCAGCAGCAGTAGCCAGGCAGTATTCACCAAGTCTTGGGTAAGACTCAGAGCCAAGCTATCTCTGGGTGTGGCCCAGGACATTCCCAAGTGTGATTGCCGTGGGGATATACTCCTTGTGCTTTTGGAAAGGAGAGGCAATGGAGTGCACTTTGTCTTGCAGCTTGGGTACTAGCTCAACCACAATCAGGTAGATCATCAAGCAAGCTCCTGGGGTCTCCGATTGCAGGCCTTGGCTCCTGGATGGCATATCTGGACTCACCTGGGGCCTGAGGAGAACCCACTGCACTGAAGGAAGAGACCCAGGCCTGGCAGCATTTACTACTACTTAACTAAAAAGCTCTTGGACCTTGAGTGATTCCTCTGCTTATGAAAAGGGACAGGAAGAATGGGACAAACTTTGTATTGTGGCTTGGGTGCCAGCTCTGCCACAGTAGAATAGAGCACCAAATAGATTCATAAAGATACAACTTCAGGACTTGGCGCCTAGATGGCAATCCTGGACCTGCCCTGGACCTCAAGGGCACTCACTGCTCTGAAGGGAAGGACACAAGCCTTGCTGGATTTGCCACCTGCTGTCTTAAAAGTTCTTGGACACTGACTAAACACCATCATTAGGCAGTGGTTGCTTTGGGTGAGACCCAGTGCTATGATGGCTTCAGGTTTGACACAGCACAGAAGCAATGGTGGTGGTAACAGGAGTGCTTATGTCATCCCTTCTCCCAGCTCCAAGCAGCTCAGCATGGAGACAGACTCCTGTGGAGGTGCGGAAGGTGGGGGAGAGTAAGGGAAGAGAACAAGAGTAATCTAGAAAATTCTCTTGGATCTTAGAGGTCCCACTTTGGTGGTCTTGAGTATTAGTCTACAAGAATTAAAACATTACTTGGCTTGGGGTGTCCCCTAATACAGATATGGCTGTAGTACCAAAAGACTTATATTCAACACTCCATTCTCTTTCGATATTTGGAAAGCCTTCACAAGAAGGATGGGTTCAAACGAGCAGATTGTGAATACTATAGTAAATACACAACTCTTTATACACAGACTTGCCCATACACAGACAAACATCCACAAGTATCAAGACCATCCAGGAAAACATGATCTCACCAAGAGAACTAAAAAAAAAAAAAAGGCACCAGTGACCAATTCTGGAGTAACAGATACATGACCTTCACAGACACAATTCAAAATAGCTGTTTTGAGGAAGCTCAACAAAATCCAAGGTAACACAATAAATTCAGAATCCTATCAGATAAATTTTATGAAGAGATTTAAATAATTTTTTGAAAATCAAGCAGAAATTCTGGCATCGAAAAAAATCGACATTGAAGAATGCATCAGAGTCTGAACAGCAGAATTAATCCAGCAGAAGAAAGGTTTAGTGAGCTTGAAGACAGGCCAATTGAAAGTACAGGAGGAGACAAAAAAAAAAAAAAAAAAAAAATCAAGAAAGCAAGCATACCCACAAAAGCTAGAAAGTAGCTTATAAAGGACAAATCTAAGTGTTATAGGTCTTAGATAGGAGAGAGAGAGATCAGGGTAGAAAGTTCATTCAAAGAGATAATAGAACTTTCCAAAGCTAAGACAAGATATCAATATTCAAATACAAGAGGTTGTAGAACACTCAAAGACGACTACATCAAGACATTTAATAATCAAACTCTCAAAAGTAAAGGATCAAGAAAGGATCCTAAAAGCAGCAAGCTTTTCCAAAAAGCTTCATAACTAGTAATAGACTTCTCAGCAGAAAACTTACAGGCCAAGAGAGTGCCATGCCTTATTTAAAGTGCTGAAGGAAAATGCCCTTTATCCTAGGATAGTACATCCAGTGAAAATATCCTTCCAAGATAAAAGACCTTCCAAGACAGAAGCTGTAGGATTTCATCAACACCAGACCTGTTCTACAAGAAATGCTAAAGAGAATTTATCAACTGGAAAGAAGAGGACCTTAACTAGCCAGAAAAACCATCTGAAGGCATAAAACTAAGTACAGACCAACACAAAACTATTATAATACTGTAATTGTGGTGTATGAACTACTCGCATCTTGAATAAAAAGACTAAAAACAAAACAGACTTTTAGTTACTAAGCAAAAATAACCACAATAACTTTAAGACATCAACAGTATAATGAGATATAAACAGAAACGAAAAGATTAAAAGAGATGAAGTATAGAGTTTTTAATTAGTTTTCTCTTTGCTTTCTTGTTTATGCAACCAAGGTTGTCTGTTTGAAATAACGGGTTATAGTGTTTGTAAACCTCATGGTAGCCTCAAATAAGAAGATAGATACACAAAATGTAAAAAGCAAGAAATAAAAACATGCCACTAGAGAAAACTCTTCTTCACTTAAAAGGAAGACAGGATAGAAGGGAAACCACAAAACAACCAGAAAATAACAAAATGGTAGGAGGAGTAAGTTCTTATCAATAAAACA